TCATTTGAAATGTGATGATTAGTACTGAGATATCAGTGGAAAAACCGAAAATTGACTAATCATTATGCAAATTAGGTAATTAGTATCCACGGATTATACCAAAACTAATCAAAACTAGCATTAGTTCAGAGCATCTATGTACCAAGTTTCATCAAAATCCAATGAGTGGTTGTTTAGATATCAGTGCAACAGTCATGGAACCACTAAAAAATAGCTAATTATCATGTAAATTAGGTAATTAATATGCACGGATTTTTACCAAAAATTAATCAAATCTGCGCATATGTTCAGAGCATCTATGTACCAAGTTTCATCAAAATCCAATGAGTGGTTCTTTAGATATCAGTGGAACAGTCATAGAACAGCTAAAAATTAGCTAATTATCATGCAAATTAGGTAATTAACGAGCATGGATTTTTACCAAAACCTAATCAAATCTGCGCATTGGCCCAGAGCATCTATGCACCAAGTTTCATCAAAAACCGATGTATGGTTCTTGAGATAGCAGTGGAACAGTCGGACACACATACACACACACATACACACATACACACATACACACATACACACACACACACATACACACATACACACATACAGACACACTAACTGCAAAGACTCCCATTTTGTGCTTCGCACATGGGAGTCAAAAAAATCAAAAAAAGCTTAGAAAGAACTCCCATGTACTGAGAGTATTGGAGTCACATTAAATATAATTTAAAATTACTTGTACATGAGATATTGATAGTGACAATGATGGAAAAGCCGAAAACTAATAATGCAAATCAGAAAATTAATATGAACAGATTTTAATGGAAAACTAATGAGGTCTGCACAATGTAACAGACCATCTATGTACCAAGTTTTATTGAAATGTGATTGGAACCCAAAAAAAATAAATTATTATGCTAATTAGGGAATTAATATAAACAGATTTTAACCCCAAACTAATCAGGTTTGTACATTGTCCTAGAGCATATTTGCACTAAGTTTCATTAAAATGGAATAATTAGTACTTTAGATATCAGTGTGATAGCTTAAAAGTGGTTAATGATGTTAATTAGTAATTAAAATGTACAGATTTTAACCCACAATTATCCAGGTCTGTCTATTGTCCTACAGCATCCATGTACAAAGTTTCATTGAAATGTGATGATTAGTACTTGAGAAATCAGTGTGAAAGCTGAAAATTAATTAATTATGCAAATTAGGTAATTAATATACACAATTATTTACCCTAAAACTAATCAGGTCTTTGGATAGTTCTAAAGGATCTATGTACCAAGTTTCATTGCAATGTGATAATTAGTACTTGAGATATCTGTGGAAAAGCTGAAAATAACTAGTTATGCAAATTAGGTAATTAATATGCACAAATGTTCATCCCAAAACAATCAATCTCTGTATAGTCCTTGAGTATCATGGAACAGCTAAAAATTAACTTATTATCATGCAAATTAGGTAATTAATATGCATGAAATTTTACCAAAACCTAACCTAATCAAATCTGCGCATTAGCCCAGAGCATCTATGCACCAAGTTTCATCAAAAACTGATGTATGGTTCTTGAGATATCAATGGAACAGACGGACACACATACAGACACACGAACCGCAAAGACTCCCATTTTGTGCTTCGCACATGGAAGTCAAAAAAAATTCTTCAATTATAAACCATTGTTTTTTGAGAAAAGTCTTGCCAATCAAATGTCTTGTACAGACTTAGTTTGAAAAAAATATACGTCAGAAAAATATACATCAGAGTATGAAAAATATAGCAAATCATACACATCACAAATACAGCAAGAAGATTTCCATTATGGATACTGCCTGTAGGGTACAATATCTACAAAGCTGTGATCTACATGCAATCTGACATGAAACTGGGAAAGGGTGACAAAATCAACACACTAAATATACAAAAATTTCGAATTGTCTTTTTATTCAAATATATCCCCAAAAATGTGGTTCTCAAATCAATTCCAATTTATATTTATAGTACATGTATTTACAAAACAATAAATAGCAAAATGTACATAGATCAAACCCATAAAAAAACTGTTTTCAAATTATCCTAGAAATAAATCACCATCCCTAATTGTTCATTTCTACACTAGTCATTACAAATTAGCACCATTTATACCTAATAATAAAAGATGCTTCAGAAGGAAAATTTACAAAAGACTTGGTAATGAAAATAATGATTTCTTACACCATTTTAATCATATTCATTCAACTTTACATATTTACAAGAAAAGTTCTTAAAATGACATAACAAATTTGACTACTATGAGATGAAAACCTAATTTAAAAACGCTTATTCTGATTAGAAAATACTATAATTGTTTGCAATTATCTAAAATAATAATGGACAAGCATGATTTGATTCTCATTAGCTTCACATGCCAACATTTGTAATTTCAGTGACACTACACTATACATAAAAGAAAATTGATTTCCAAATTGAACATTCATTCATTATTACAAAAATGTTGGTGACAATATGTTAAACTTAAGTAGGGTTTAAAATCAAGTTAGTATTCATGATAGTCTCTAAAAAATATAGTACAAAATTTGAAGAGATAAGGCTGTCATATTTAACAAACATTTTCTGAAAATCTTTTAGCAAACTGGACAAGAGAAATTTACAATGGATGGATGGATTGTCTGTATTGAAATTTTAATGACAGTATCCAAGCAGGATATAAAATGTTAGATCGTGTCTTTGCTGATGATACATTGATATGTGTATATGACTACAACGTACCTGATTAGTAATCATTCTGCAGAACAAGTCGAAAGACGACTGCAGAACAAAATAGCAATGCACTCATCTATTTTATGATAATGCTTCACCACTAGAGGGCGCAACTTACTTGCAATGCTAAATATGTATTCTAGGGAGCGGGCATCTGGGCATTTTCACTGCATGGCAACCATCACGGTGAAAACAAGGGCTGAAAACGGTACTTTGGGATGGTTGTTGAGACTCCCCTGAACAGTGTAACAAGATTTCCCCTGCGTGTGTAACGCATATAAATTTGATTATTCAGGATCACTTCAAAGTTGAGTTCCTGTTTTTTTCTTGAATTGTCACCAGCTATTCCGCGCTCCTCAGCAGCGCGCACAGAGCCCATAGAAATATGTGGTACAGTTGTGCGCGTCTTAGCAACGTGGATCATCTTGTGATGTAGCTCCGCCCCCGAGGATTGAATCTTTGAGCCTTGTACATGTATACTCATCAAAGATGTAGTACAGAATAAGACTTCAATCGGACATGATATAAATGTTATATTATCAGTTGCTGTACACAACCATCATAAGTATCTTTGTTTTTGTTTGAGTTGAGTGCACACATATGTGACTTATAGATCATCAAAGCATTAGTACCATGCTTACAACAGCAATGACTACAGTACTGAATATCGTAGATTCCCTGAGAGGTGATGCTGCATTGACACCAAATGGATAAAAGAAGTCGTATGGTAGTTTCGCTGTGAACGTGGGTGGTGCAGCTTGGACACCTTCTGGATAACTGGAAGTATCAATATAACCAACAGAACTGACCACTTCAAAATTTTGCTGTATGTCTTCAGTACCTGGTTGACAGTATGCTCCAATACACTTAGAGATGAATAAAACAAAATCACAAATTTAATTAAATGTAATTAAAACAGTTGCTGATGTGAAATCACTGGTACGTACAAACTGCATGCAAGAAATGCTGCAGGTATTTCAGCAAAGACTGGAGGCCTGAGGACTGTTCACTTCCGCATAGTTTCCCTTGATATTAATTATGCATGCAAGCAAATGTTGTCACTTGGTTTTAATATAGGCAGGGCATGGCTAGATTCACATCTCGCTAAATTCCTCTTCTGCCATGATCATAGCCAAGTTTTTTCATTGTGAGAGAAAGAATATAGAAAGACATGTTCTGCTGTTCACTCACTATGTTTATAGACAACAGACGTAAACTTTCTATTTCCTGTGTACTGTATTGTATGCAATGATGTGTCTACCTAATCTGTGATTGGCTGGTTGCTTTGTGATGTTGCATGAGCTGTCTAATCATTTTCTCTTCAGTCACGTGAGGGCGTTTTTAAGCGTTAATAGTTCTTAGGCCTTTGCTGAAATGCCTGCAGCATTTAGTATACTAACAAATTAGGGGTGAGGACTGTCGACAGTCTGGAGGTGTGTCTCTAATATTATACATGCACTTCAGGGTCTCACATGTAGCTATGTAAATGGGAACAATTTTCTTCATAACCTCTGTCACTCAAAAACAATTCCAGAACCCTACCTGATATTTCAGTTCCACTGGTTGGGCATATCTGTATGTAACACCTATTATCTTAGGTTGTGGATTAGCTAAGGATCCAGTATCAGCATACAATATTTCTAGATGTACTCCAAGGACCATATTATGACAAACTCCTTCTGGACCAGTAGAAGGCTAGACAAAGTGAAACATAATTAATTTTGTTAGTGAAACAAATCTGTATTCAGACCAAAAAAGCTGGACCTATGTGTAGATTGATGTATTGATCGAGACAATGGGCAGTGTTGAACACTGAATAAAAATACTGTTTTTTTTCATTACATGGTGGTGGGATAAATTCAAGCCTGTCTCTGGTCATTAACTGGAGATTTGATGGAATCACAAATTTGTGAACCTACTACTGCAGGGTGGAATTGTCATCTGTAATGGTCATAGTATGATGACATTTTCGCTTGGTTCAGATGCCGTGGCTTACGAGAAAGTTGTGAGAAAGGGAGCATAGACACGACAGTGTTCAAGTTTAACGGTCACATTTTGTACATAAATAATTTTTTGTTGTGATATGGTATAACACTCGAAACTAAGCTTGTCAAGCAAATAAACTTAAATTGAAAATGTGATTACCGGTACACTGTTTATTCAAGGGCGACCATACTTTGCTTTTTCAAATTCAAATTTCACGTTGCTTTTTTCAAATTATCGATTTTTTCATAACTTTATCGGCCATGTAGTTACCAAACGGGTTGTTTTGATTTTTATAAAACCAACACAATAGCTACTTTAAACATCAACAAATAACTGAATACGATGCGCTGAACAGAAAATATCCTCTTGACTGTGTTACTTTTGGTTTTTGAGTCTTTTCAACCCTCTGAAAAGTAACCTGTCTAAAACCACAAAAATCTTGATTATGCAAACAGTTCTTGTCCGATTTCATTGACTTTTTCAGAGATTGAACTCAATATCAATTGAAATCAAAAAGTATCAGAAATATTTCATGACTAATTGACTTGTGAATAAAGAGTACTCTAATTTATTACAGAATTCTTGTCCACTACTTTGTAAAAGAACCAAACAATGCAGAAACTATCTATTTTACATTATGTTTGAGAACATTGTAGACTTCCCTTTCTCGTAGAAATGTGTTGCCTGTTTTCGTTTTCTAGTAACAGTAAAAATAGCAGTCATGTGACGTAATTAATGTTGACATTAGTGTTATCATCATTTTTGGATAGAGTGTTGCAAGAGCTACAATAACATGTGAAAATTGTTAGACATTATTAAACAATGACACACTATGGCTACCTGGTGGTGACACTCCCGCTTTAAATAATGCTTTCCTGCTTTGTGTATCAATGAATTAAACTTACAGAAGGATTACTCGCTGGCACATTGTCATACAGTATAGGCACCCAATCACCAGCCATTTCAACACGTGAATTGCCGAACATAGCAACATGAGTTGGTGGAGAGGAACCAAAGAGTGTGTTGTTGACAGCTTCTTGAATTAATACGCAGATATCAGTCAAGTTCTCATAAGCTACACTGAAAATGGAGGACAGAAAATTATTAAGATCTTTAAGTTGGTTCACACGGTCAGATTAATTAGGCTACTGTAAAGTACTTTATTTTCACTTGAAATTTATTTCCCTATTTTCTCTAAATCAGTGAAAATAAAATAAAATTCAATGAAAATAATTATTTTACATAAAACTTCATACAAAACAGCCAAAATGTATTTTTAGCGACAATTAATTCCAACTAAAATAAAGTATTTTACACTACTCTGGTTATTTATATATAGCTTACACAAGATTACATCCAGTTCTCATATCAAGTCCAAAGGTAACAGATGTTCTGGAGTCAGCGTCAGTTATACAATTACCATCTGCTGTAGGTGATACCATGGTTAGCCAGTTATCTCTGTTACTATCAAGTATGATTGAGTATGTATACAGGAGTCAAAGAAAACATCTCATCATCATTGCAATTTTTATGATCAACAACAAACCCCTAAAACATGTTTCATCCATTCAGTTGGTGAGTAATGTTGAATTACAAAAAAATTTATAGTAGTACCGGTAGTATTATTTTTAAAAGGATGAAAGATGAAGGCCAACATTATAACATTTAAATTTTTTTATTTCATTATAATAAATCATTTCATTTTAATAAATCAGAAGAAAAGACAGCAACTCTCCCCATCCATTCACACACGCATATACACAGACAGACCATAATATGTAAATGTTTGACATTATTCACCAGACATACCGATACATGTATACATGTATGTTTGTTTCAGACAGTTTTGCACATGGTTTGGGTTAAAGATTTAAAATACTGAAAAGGATATCTTGTTTCTCCCAGTGGATCTACTTCTGATGTCATCGTACCTGCCATCAGGGGCTCACCAACAACATAACCAGGATTGCCACTCTTTTCAAATATCTCTGTGTCTTCCAACTACATCAAAAACATTACAATTTGTGTCAGTATAGAATGCACATCATTTAATATACCGGTAGTACCATGCAAAACTGTGTGAAAAATTTCAATGTTCAGGAATTTCACAGATGTACAAGGTTCAATACTTTTTTGGGGACTTTGTCTACAGTGGTACTGTTAAATAATTACTTACCTTGGCATAAGCTGAATTGTATGTTTGATAGAAAGGTAGTTCACTACTTGTTATGTTGCCAAACACCAGATCTACTTGAACACTACTAATACCAGATGTTCCATTAGTTGTAAACATATAGTTCACCTGTGTGTAGACCAAACATAATTCATGTGTCATTAAAACCTCTGATACAGAAGAGATTTGTCAATCTTGTTCTGATTACGGTAATATTTTGTTATCTACTGATTAGGTAAACTAAATAGAAGCAGCAAAGTTGATACAATCTATTTGATTATTCATACACAGCAGAACTGCAAAAAAAATCACCATGCAGTTTTTTTTTCTTTACAGAAGCACGATAAACTGTCATTCACAAAGCGTCCATCCTAATTTTTTTATTACAAGTTCCTATATTCTTACTAAGCACTGACCTCAAAGATAGCATTCTGGCACGTCATAGTGTTAGCATCATACTCAGGTCTGGGTATCTCTTCGCTTGTGAAATTACACTCCCTTCTCACACCCAGTAACTCAATACAGTAAAGGTTCTGAACGGTGATAGGTAGCAAGGCTGGATGATCATATATTGTACTGTCATTGTATAATGGTGTAGTTGGAACTGCAGTGGTATCATTTGTAGCATTGGGTGTTGTAAACGATGTGGGAGATTCTGTTGTACTGTTTACTAACACTGGATCTGGTTCAATCTCATTAAGGAAGTACGGAGTCTGTGTAGAAGAAATGAAAAACATATAAATTTGACAACTACTAGTAGTTGGGTATGATATTACTTTTCTGGACAAGCCTAAACACACCTACAAGTTTTTTAATTACATTGAATAATATGAATCATGCAAATCGATACTGATTTTTGATTGCTACTTACAGAAACCACTTTAAATCCTTCATAATAGACTTGTGCTGACAGGGCTGGCATGGTTTCACACTGTGCTTCCAGGTCAAAGATTTGTCTTGTACACTGGAATGACTCATCAAACAAATAAGCTGAAAATAATATAAAGGATTGTTTACATGTATCTTCATAACAAATTTCAATAAAATATGCCACCTATGTCTGAAAAATCAGTTGCTGACATATTGAAATTGTGCTTTCTGAGACAAGAAATGCACCTAGCCATTGAAAAACAAAAATGAATGGTACCGATAGTGCATATATTTTGCCATTCATTTGTACCATACTTGAACACATACCATATGGAAGAATTAAGTCTGAGAAATAACAGAAACTGGAATATTTTTGTTTGATAACATTTAATAATATATTTAATTAGTGTTTTTTATTGATGTTGCATGCTCACACACACCCTGGGCCTATAAACTATTGAACAAAGAAATTTACCTGCTGGATTGTTGTTTCCACACAGACTTGAGGTTAATCTATTGGGTAGTCCCAGAACTCCTTGTGCTAAACTTTCATAAATTGTATAAATAGGATCTCCTGACTGAAATAAAGCAAATAATTATTTAAATAATAAGGCATCATAAAAGTAAATGGAGCTAATACTCAAAAAAAAAAAATATAATAGCTCAGCCTATTATATTTTTTACTTAAGTTTCAATTATGTGAACATTAGCGAGCAAACCTCAAGCATCTTTTTTTTTTCAAAGCAGTTCAGTATTACCTCAGAGGACACACTGTCAAGTCTTTTCCCGTAATAATACATCATAATTGCAACAAGCACTGACAATGTACAGTGTTGCTTTTCCCAGTCGTCAATCTCAGTGTTAGATCACATGCAGATATACATATACATGTCTACCAAAGGTAACCATGTATAATTTTTATGTCAATACAGTAAATAATAGATACCAGTAGTACTGGCTAAGAAAATGTGGTAATAATAGATAAACTTGCATGACAAAATGGCCGTCAATTCAACAAATTTGATCAAATCACAAAATAACACAACCTTTGAGATATAATAAAAACAAAATGGATATGATACTGTCACAAGGTACTCAGGCTGGTAGTTTTCAAGAAGTTGAAAATATTAATTTTTGCCAATAATGACACAAATATTTGCTAAGAACAGAGAATTACTGATATCATCATGAAATGAACAAATCTGATAGAGGTCTACCCACTGTACCTACATATGCAGGTAAAATGTCAAAATAATTGAGCTGGAAATTTTCAAGAAGAAGTCACAAATGCAATTGTTGATGAACAGCAGAAATCACCTTTAAACCGCGCCACTCTGTCATCTTTGATGAAAGCAGAGCTAAAGATTTTAACTCTGAGAACCGGTATAAAAAGTATGAAAATGGTTGTCAGTCAGCCATATTTGACCAAATGGTAATGAAAATCAACATCCATATGTAAGTCATCCCACATGGTCTGTCTATTTTGAATGTTATCAGTTAAAACATTTCAAAGAAATAGCACTAGACACCCACATGGACGCACAAAACCCAAAATAATACTATAGTCCTTTATTTCTGACTTTGGGACTAATAAAACATGTCTAAATAAACTGTGTAGACCAGAGTTTCATCTGAACTAAACAATATTTCAGGTACCTTTTACAGTACAGCCTTTGTATTAATATAAGATAGTATATCCCTTTGCCCATAGAAAGACATACTAGATTGGATGTATAGATAATTCCATTATAGTATAAATTCTAAGTTTACCTTGTAGAAGACACCATATTCATCTTCAGTATCAGATACTCGTTCATACGTATAGTCTCCATATTCATCTACTAGTTCGTTAAATCTTTCAATGGTATATACTGTGTCCGGTATCAAGTAGTAATTTCTATCTTCATCTGCAGAAGTATTAATTATTAATGAGTAATGACTTTAAATAATACACCTGGCATGCATGTATGCACTAACATCATACAAAAGGGGTGTATCATACTATACCAGTAAATAGCAAGTTATTAAAAGTAATCAAATTTACAAATTAGTATATTCAACAACCTGATCAACACAAATAAATACCAAACCAATACAATGACACAGAAATCTGGGGTGTAGAAATAACTGATTTCATTAAATGAGACAAAAATTCACACATTTTAACTTGCATTTAACTTAAAATTTTATTTTTTATTTTTCTGCTATACCAGTAATTTAAATGCAACTCATCAAAAATTAATTGCTGCTAAAATAAAGCATTTTACAGTATATAATTAAAACATAAACTAGTAAAAACATCAGAACATTATAAATACTACTGTACACTTTATTTTCACTGCGTTCCAAAAATGTTTGTATGAGCACATCCAAAGCCTGCTACACACCAACCTGCAACTTTTACGTAACACAACATGACGTTTTTTTAATGTCGTAGATCCCAAACATGTTCAGTTTTATCATGTTGTGTTGAGTTGCTTTAGATGGTGTGCAGTACTTGCAGTGTTGCATCATGAGAGTGCACCAATCAGAGAGGGATTTGAAACCGTATCATACTGTCAAGCTAAGTCATGTGTAGCGCTTTGGTTGTGAGTTTCATCAATCACATGATTTTGCCATGATTGCAACAGTTATGTCGCATCACCTCATAGAGGACAGTGTGCAGCAGGCTTTATTTACAGTACATTATAAATGTGTAAGTTACACGTATAATAAATAATGGTATATGGTAGTGTTAAAATGTGGGGTTAGAATTGTACTTATTCATTTAAAGAATAACTCAGAAGTTATCCTCCATAACATAATAATCTTGGGTAAAGAATTAATTAATATACATATCTGAACAGGTAATATCATGTACATGTACTTACAATTATCAAATTCTATACAGAATAGTCCACTTTCTGTTTTGTTAACTGTATATGGTGTGTTCGCTAATATCAGTTGGTATGATTGTAAACATACTTTATCATCGTGACTGTAAATAGGAAAAAAATATACCTTAGTTATTGTATCACAAGAAGATAGATACATTGTATTAGTAATATGATCTAAGAAACAAGGAGAGTGAACAAATTTCCTACAGCATTTCTTAATATTTCGGTAGTTTACAGATTGCACATACTGAAGGTATTAAGGTTTTAGGTCACATCCTTCATAAATTGTAGTTACATGACAAACTAAAATGATTTTATTGGGCTTAGCCTTTTCACCACCAGAATTTCACTTGTTTCTTATATTCTTACATATTTCTGATACAGGTTAGAACCCTAATTTTGGAGCCAACAGACACAATTTGAATCAATTTTCAGTTTTTACTAAAATATATTCAGCTTTTTCCCCCCATCTCCTGAAGGAAAGTGCAGGACTGATTTGTGGATTTCTGATGAAAAGATGGTGGTGGTGAAACAGTTAGATATTGTGAGTTGTACACTGTACTAGGTAGAGCAGTGACAGTGTCAGGTCATAAGTATAAGAGTGTATAACCTCATTTGGAGGTTGATATTACAATGTATTTACACTGACTTACTAATATGTGTTTTCAACACATTCACTAAATGTATGCCTATCTTCAGCAGAGCAGTCTGGATCACAACAACAATTCACATCACAAGAAGGCACAGTTAGATCACAGGTACAAGGTCCTAAATCTGTAACCAAATTATTGGAAGCATTAGGGAATAGATATAATTAAATATGGTCAAAATCAGATCCCGTTGTAAGTGTCTTCTGTCTTTCAAGTGTGTGGGTTTTTTTTCTGCCAACTGAAAAACAGACTATAGATAGTACCGTATATCCATTCCCCAATAAAAATGGCACATCTGATTTATTTAATTTTAGAAAATATGTGAATATATATAGTCAGACAATTTATACTTGTTAATATTACCCACCATACTTTTTTAAAGTTTATTTCATCCAAATATATATGGTCAATCTATGAATATTATAAGTCTTGATTTATTTATTTATTTATTTATTTATTTATTTATTTATTTATTTATTTATTTATTTATTTATTTATTTATTTATTTATTTATTTATTTATTATGGACACTCAGTTGAAATTTGGAGAGACAGACTCGTAAATCTGTGTTTACAAGTTTTGTAAGATAGGCTTTCAAATTACAGCAACTCACTAGCGAATTGGCTAACTGCTTTGGTTTTGACTAAACGGTTGGCGTTTGAATTTCGCTGGTGCCGGTTTGTGATCACGTCCACTCTGGGCGAGTCTATATAATATTTTTACGCAGCCTGGTACATTCCCCTGAATGATTTGAGCCCGAAAATGGCCACAGTCAGCTGGCGTACAAGTGATAATATGATAAATGCGATTAATCCAACAATATTTACTATATGAGGGTAACCATCTTGAACACTGCTTGAAACTGAATAGACAAATTGAGAAACAGTTTCCTACAAATCAGGGAGAAAATAACAAACTTTCACATCGAAACGATCCATTGGGGCAGCGAGCTGTAATGATTACATTAATCATTACAGCTCCCTGGTTGGGGGTAACATTAAGCCAACTGCTGAAAAATCGACCTCATTCGTCGTTTTTGTGTGGACACGAAGAACATAGAACAATTTCCCTGGTATATTTGAAAGCGAAATTGTCATCCAACTGTAAGACCATCGCTGATTAGCTCCTAAAGTATGAGGACCGTCCCCTAATGTTATATAGATTCGCCTTAAGTGGGCGTGACCACAAGACGACACCAGCGAGATTTGAAAGCCAACTGTTTAGTCAAAACCAAAGCAGTTAGCCAATTCACTAGCAAGTTTGCAAGACTTACTGTAAAAGAAGAAAGAAGTTACTTTCAGATACCATGTGCTGCTAGTTGCTGTATTAACCATATAAGTTTCCATTAACAGTGAGTTTGTAGAATTCTTGATTCGGTTAAAATATGTAATAATACGCGGTACCTACCAAGCTCACTTTAAATTCCCAATGCAGTTGTATTTTGGGAGATGCCTAACAGAAATCTTCAAAAACTCATATGGGCATCTTCAATTGGGGATTTAATTTGAGTTACATCATCCCAGACATTACAGCCATAAATTAAAATTTGTCTGATAAATTTATTAAAAAGTGAGAGAAAAAGTGAAATGTTGGAATTTTGATTAAAGCCAAATTTTCACTTTGAAGAAAAAAATGCTTTTTGTGCTTTCTCTTTACTAGTAAGTAGTTTGAACCACAGTCCCTCCTCTGGAACTAATCTCAAGGAACTAATCTCAAGGAACTAATCTCAAGGAACTAATCTCAAGGCCAAGATAATTGTGATATCTAACCATACTATTTCAATTTCTTCGAAGAAGAAAATATGACTGTCTATCATGAAAACAACAGCTCATTGAGAAAAATAAATAATCTGTTACAGGAAACATGGTTTGGTATTAATGGGAGGGGGGCTTGATGCCTTATATACTTATGAATAAGCATGCAACATACTACTACATGTAATTTGTTATTGAATAACAATTCCCCATGGTAACACATTTTCTCTGTTGATTAGCGACAAACCACAAATGTGCATTCAAACCCTGGCAGAAACAAATTGTATTAGATGTAATCTTTGAGCCGCACAGGTATAATTTATACAAGGGCACGACCAATCTGTTTTGGGTCTGGAACGTCCAAACCATGACCGTAACGTATTTTATTTACCAGGGTCGTAGGCGATCAGGGCCGGACCGTCCCGACACAGTGACAATGTACAGCTGCCGTAAATTAAAGAGCTACTGTACTTTTCAATCAAATTAATTGTTGATGTGAATACGCGACGCTTGATTTGTAGTCAGTTTGTGAACTTTGATTTCATATACCACGCCATATAACCACAGTGATGCTAAAATGCCCATTGCCCAATTCAAGAGACCCGTGGTACAAAACAACGCACTGAAATTGAATCACTATCTGACCTGTATTTGCTGGAAGTTCAGTCGATTCAGGGAGTTGGGTTGCGGCTTCTGTTGTTTGTGGCTGCTCCGTTACTATCACCGTTGCCGTCGTAGCATCAGTGGCATTTAGATCAACAGTTGCGGTCGTTACTGGACCCACAGTTCCAGTTTGAGAAAATACTACTGAAATATAGGACAAAAATATTAAAAAAAACACAGAACTATTTTTGTTGTCCGCCATCTTATTGAGGAATTCCCTTGTATGTTTGTTTGTTTATTTTTGCTCTACTCGATAAATAGTTTCTAAGTACCCTAAATATCAATTTTCAATATAATTTCAGGTTTTTAGATTTACAATACTTACCAAACTGTATGTTGGTTTTATAATGACAATAAAGCTCAAAATATTCGTTATTTGTGATGATATTTGTGATATATGATTGGTAATTAAAACTGTGGTGGCTAAGAAACTCACAAACCAATCGGAGGAAACGTTCAGGGATCACCGGCGCGACGGCGAAAATAATAGTCGCGGACCAATCATCGCGAAGCATTTCAACCTATGACCTCCGTACAAAGCGGCAACCGACAGTGCTTTGCATACACGGAATTTAAAATTGTCGTCCGTCTATTATCAAATTTTACGAATGCACGATAAATCACGCATTATTGCCTAATTCGCTGTCTTAGCGAATCTTTCTAATCGTAAGTAATGTAATTTATTTTTTTCTATTCTACAGCTCAACTGTAACGTTTGCAAATGAACTCGCGCAGCGTTTTCATCATGCTAGTCTTCAAGCTTTCATTGTATTGACGCCATTTTTGTTTATGATTTATCCAGAACGTTGTAGTCTTTTCCGGTAATGTTCTCATATTCTTACACTACTGGTAATTAAATTGTTCTGAATCCACAATATTGGCATCTTATCCGTGCTGTCAAAAATCAAAACACAGTGAACACAACACTTATTGTGATCAACCTCACACCCACGTGTTTCCCCTTTGTGTATCATGTCAAACGATTCACCCGATAAAGCCAATGCATTGTGTTGTGTTGCGTTGTGTTGTGTTGTGTTGTGGAAGTGAAACTGAAAGCACAACGTTTTAACCATAAACTAGTTTAACTAAAAACCTGAGTTTATTTTTCCAATGGCTATTGTGCTAGCCCTAGACATAGCAACATTACATAGTACAATTATAATAATTTCTACTCAACTTATTTTTTTTTAAGTGACACATTGTGACACTGTCCTGTGGTTAAAAATGTGTACTGTTGGTCTGGGGAAACATTTTACTGATTCTGAAGGGCAAATAAACCGTTATTAATTCATACCAATCTAACATAGACCATGCATAGACCAAGGGTGTCTATGCAATGACAGGGCTAAAGTCAGTTAGGAAATACTTAAAGGGCATTTCATGCGTTTAACATTGAATGGGAAAATAAACCCATGAGGACATGGAGCATCATGCTTAAAACCACTATTCTGACTATATAATGAACCTAAAACAAAGGTGGTTATATCGTCTGTTACAAAATCAAAAACCTGTCAATTTTGGGGCAATTCACAACTATGATTATCAATTAGTACATTGTGCATGTAAAACTACTTGAGCATTTGTCAACATTTCTTTGAAAACTCAAGGAGAGAAGATAAAGTAGAGTTCCTTTGTGAATGAACTCACTGTTATGTAACAGTGATGGAAATTAAGCTACCCGTTATATGTTTATAAGCAGGATTTTTCTGTTTTCTAGCCTAATGGTGATAGCCTCATGGTTATCGCATCCTCGTTAACGGATTCACTTGGATGAGAAATAAGCCCAACAAAATGCTGTAGTTTTCACAGGCAACATCATAGTTATATCAATAACCCTATGTATTTTTTGGATTTGAAATGAATATTCAATATAGCAGACATGGCATGCATAGCAACTCTGCCCATCAAAGATTACTACACTTGGTAGGCAACCAAGATACTCAAGTTCAAATCCAATTACAATTGAATATGATGTGGAAGTACTAGTACCCGGTAAACATCATGACCATGTGTATCCCAAGTTATTTTGCTTGTAGACTCCATGGATGTCAGAGATGGCTTTGTACTACTACTCCCAATTAGTGAATTTAAGCTGGATTTCTGCTTCCTGTGCTATTCTTGATGTCTTGCAACATGTCATGACTATTTTGTTGAAGCTTATTATGGATTCATTGAAATAACGATTTTAAAAAATGCACTAAAAGATTGCCCTGGGTGATGTTCTGGAGTCAACATTTTCCCACAAATAGGAACTGCCCTCCAAAACATTACAAGAGGCATAGTACTAGGTATCAAAATTAAACACATGGTGTTTAATACAAATATGGTAGTTCATAGTGTAGAACTGTAATATGCACATGTTCCAAAATGAGCATAAATTCTGGCTGTTCAATTATCATATACAAAACGAGTAGGGCCTTTAACATTCTAAAAGACTTATTATCGATTTGCAAAATTGAATAACTTTGAAATTAAATGATTTATGTTTATTTTGTCAAGCCATCTGACATAAAACAACCACAACAGCACACACAACTGTCAAAATTCAATTGAGTATGCAGAAGACATTGAATACATTGAACCAGTTGTGAGTTTAAAAAGTAATGATTTGTCATTGAAATGAAAGTAAACTTAAGGTAGCGAGAAGGGAAATTTTCACTTTTTTCTTGATTTTTCAAAAATTGATAAAACCGGTTACTTTAGACCTTGATACATCACCCCAGGTTTACAAAAGATCGAAATTGCGAAATAACGTTGCTCAAATTAGTGTTTTAAAACACTAGCAGAAAAGACTACAACTGCCGTTTCGTGGATATTTGTATAGTGTTTATCTTTGGAAGGAATTAAATGATAAAATCTTATCTGTATACTCTGTTGTTGACGATTCTGATATAACGGGTGATAAGCTTCCAGTTGCAAACAATGCGTGTTTATCTAACGTCCATTGTCAGCATTATTGTCAGTCGGGACTTCGTCGGAGAAACATGGTCATACAGTACTCATTTCGCCCAACCTTCCGCTTTTACATCGACCGCTTATCGCTTAAT